TACGCTCCCACAGAGCGGGCCTCCTCAGAGTGCCGTCGGCCAAGCAGTGTCGGCTGGCGACCCCCAGGGGGAGGGCCTTCTCTGTGGGTGCCCCCACCCTCTGGAACGAACTACCCCCCGAGATCCGGACGATTCCGGATCTCCTAGCTTTCCGCCGCGCCCTCAAGACATGGCTTTTTCAGCAAGCGGGTCTGGCCTAGGGTGAATTCTAAATAGGGACAATTTTAATGATTTTAATAAGACACAGCGACAAATATTTGTTTTTAATTGGTTTTTATTGGGGATAATGTTTTATATTGTTTTAATATGCTGTGAGCCGCCCTGAGTCCCATGGGGAGAAGGGCGGCATATAAGTTCAAAAATAAATAAAATAAATAAATAAATATGATAGAAGAGATAGATAGATAGATAGATAGATAGATAGATAGATAGATAGATAGATAGATAGATAGATAGATAGATAGATAGATAGATAGCCAGCCTTTCAATTAATTCCAGGTATATTAGGGTGAATTTAAATAACACAGCTCTAGATAGATAGATATGATAGAAGATAGATAGATAAAGATAGATAGATAAAGATAGATAGATAGATAGATAGATAGATAGATAGATAGATAGATAGATAGATAGATAGATAGATAGACAGACTTTCAGTTAATTCCAGGGATATTAGGGTGAATTTAAATAACACAGCTCAAGCCGAAACGTCTGCTAATAACGATTAAAAAATAAACCTTTGCTGATATCTCACTGCGGCCTTCAGGTCTATTGGGAAAATGGCTCCCAGATCATCGGTCCGCACGACAGAGGAATTGCTGAGGCCATTAACGAGAACCTGGAACCGTGGCCTCAAGCTTGGGAGGACACCCTTGTTGACCAAAGCCCTTTTCTCCACAATACTTTTGCAACGGTTAACCAGCATTACTTCAAAGATATACAGAGGCACTGTTATCACAGGTGAGTGGGCTTTCTTTAATTCCACTTAACTGAGGAGGTCATCTAGTCCAATCCCCTGCTCAGGCAGGAAACCCTATACCAGAGGTAGGCCATCTTGGCTCTTTTATGACTGGTGGACTTCACAACTCCCAGAATTCCTGAGCCAGCCATGCTGAGGGGAAAGAGAGAGGTTTCCAAGCTGAGCCAGGCTGGCTCAGGAATTCTGGGAGTTGAAGTCCACGAGCCATAAAAGAGCCAAGGTTGCCTACCCCTGCCCTATACCCTTTCAGATAAACAGCTGTCCAGTCTCTTCTTAAACACTTCCAGTGTTGGAGCATTCACAACTCCTAGTGGCAAGTTGTTCCACCGGTTAATTGTTCTAACTGTTAGGAAGTTTCTCTTCCGTTCTAGGTTGCTTCTCCCCTTGATTAGTTTCCCCCTCTTTTTTTTTTTGTTCCTCACGGCAGAGAATCTGCCACCAGCTGAATGTCACTCATGTTACTTGATTTTAGGGATATAAACAAGGAGACCAAGTTGAAATTTGTTCACACCTCTGTGCACGGTGTCGGCCATGAGTTTGTGCAGTCTGCCTTCAAGGCTTTTGACTTCAGCCCTCCGATTGCTGTGCCCGAGCAGAAGGACCCCGATCCGGAGTTTCCCACCGTCAAATACCCGAATCCAGAGGAAGGAAAAGGTGTCCTGGTTGGTAAAAAGATTATTTAGTACATTTTCTTCCATCTTCATTTGTCTCCTGTCCCTTCGGACCGTTCCTTTGCAACTAAAGCTTATTCTGTCTCCCTTTTTAGTACATTTTCTTCCATCTTCATTTGTCTCCTGTCCCTTCAAATGTTCCTTTGCAATTAAAGCTTAGTTCTATCTCCATTTTTAAAAAAATTATTGCGTACGCTTGTCAATCTCAAAAAGGCGCTAGTCCATTTCTTTTGCTTCTTCCGGCTTCTAATCTCCCAGCAATTTTGCAGGCAACCAGTTCGCAGGAGTTTTCCAAACGTGACTCCTTCGTCTTTCTTTTTTTTTTTGCATGTTGGGCCGTTAAACGAGATCACGCTTCCGAAACGATTTGCGCTTTTTTTTTCTCCCGCAACTTTGGCTGTTATGGTTCCGGCTAATGAAACACTTCAAAGAACTTCCGGGCATTGATTTTCCTAAAAGTAATTTATTGTTACAAAATGTCGGCACAGGCACAACGAAGTTGATGCTAAGGTCTAAAATTCTCTTCCTCTGAGCAATTAATTTACCAGCATGTTCCCTCCCTAAATTTGCTGTCATATATCATGTTCTCCTATCAGGTGGAAGGGCAGAGGTTCTCTTCCGGTGCCCGCAGTCCTATCTTTCTCCTCCCCACCACCATCAACTGAATTAACTCTAAAAATACCAGACAGTTCTGCATATTTTGTCAAAGCAAGAATATACAGTATTTACAGCATTGACATTGGCACCTGATCTACCAGTTGCGCCCCTTTCTGGACCGGGACGCTTTGCGCACAGTCACTCAGGCTCTCGTCACCTCTCGCCTGGACTACTGTAACGCTCTTTACATGGGGCTCCCCATGGGGAGCATCCGGAGGCTCCAGCTGGTCCAGAATGCGGCCGCGCGGGCGGTGTTGGGGGCGACACGTCGCTCCCATGTAACACCG